GCCAATTGTATGCTCTCCTGTAGTGGTTTATTGAACCACAATACCGATAAGTAATTAATAAAAGTCAAAAGACCAAAAAGGTCATCTTAAAAAAAAAAAATATATATATATATATATATTATCTTATAGAATTCTTATTAAATAATACTTATCTATTACATGTTAGATTATATGGTTTATAGAAATCTATTAAATATTACTTCTTTGCTCTTTTAATTTTACATTAAATTACTTGTTTGTAAACAATAATTACTAGTAAATTTATAATTTATTTATTAAATAATGTACATATTTTATTATCATCAATAAAATTTATTATTAATATTACTTCTTTGTTCTTTTTTAAATTATTAAGAAAAAATTATTCTTTTATTTTGATTTAATTTTTTTCAATTACAGATTCCAATATCCTTTCCAAATCTCCAATGAATTTCACTGCTTTATCTATATTTTTCTTAGCTAATCGATAATATTGGTCTTTAGTTCTTTCAAACAGTTCATTCATAATTCACTAACTTTTTTCAGCATTTTTTTCAGTATCTGACTATTGAATCACTAGTACTTCTATTAACATATATAACTAATATACTTCTAATCTATTTTCACTAAAGGTTTGTTAAAAGCAGTTCCATACTTCTGATGTCTAAATACTAAAATCACCACAAAGTTGTTTATGAAAGATATAACAGCAGAGTAATATATAATTAGTGAAAAATTTGCAAGAACATTTAGCTGTTTTAAGGCTAGGCATCTTCTTTCCTTCTTGCAATTTTTTTGAAACCACATGCACTTCTTCTGAAATAAGTTTTTGAATAGAAAAAGGAAACTTTTGAATCTCAATAAGATGTTTAGGTCTTATATTAGTGATTGAAATCTTTTTAGTCTAAAAATTAGCCATAGTTACTTTTGCATTGAAATCTTTTTTACTGTTAAGTTTGAGTATCTTTATACATGTATTTACAATAAAATAATAAAAATTAAGTCCATTATTATTATTATTGCTATTTAAAAAAAAATTTAATATGAATAGTCTATTCACATTCAAATTGTATAAAAATAAAATATTTAATGCAACTAAACTGCTTGCATTATATTATTGAGAATAGTAAATCAAATAATATAAAAATCCTTAAAATAAAGCATATTTATGTTAATTAGTAAAAAATAGCCAATGTAAAATTTAAAAAGTAAGAAATCTATAAATTAAAAGTTATTTCTTACCCTAACTCTAAATAATCCTAATTTCAAATAGACTAGACAATATTAATTTTTGGTTCTTATAGCTTGATCAAGTTATTAAATTCTGTTTTAACTTCAAATGTAGGCTAGTTAAAATAACATAATAATAATAATAATAATAAAATTTAACATATTTTGTTTAAAAAATCTAATAAATTTTTAGGAACTAGGTAAAGCCTCAAGATTGTATATAACTGTGCATATTTCTTGAAGAGAGATAAAATAACTTATATTCATCTAATGATGTTGCTAACCACCTATTGCCAGTCTTGCCAATTATTTGAAAGCTATTTGATCTATCAAATAAAAAAATTTATTTAATTATATTCTTATATTTTGCAGCATTAAGTTGAAGCTTTTTAATGTAATTATCAATATTTTATCTTTATTTGCTCATCTTTAAACTTTTTCTGAGATCACATGTCTTGCATTGAGACTTTGAAGTAATATCATTTACAATATGTGCTATTTATCTTCAAAAAAATACTTGAAAGTATAAAAGTATATAAAAATCAGAAGAATCACTATAAATAAAGTATATATATGAGGATGGCAATCCTAGTGTAGTGGTTGGGTTGTTATCCTCTAAGTGGCAGGTCTAAGGTTCAAATCCCACCTACAACGAAATTTAAAAATTATATCTGTGTTCGGTAACTGTCTCTTGTCGATCAGTTGGCCTCATGTGGCTGTTACCCAGATACACCAGGCTGGGTTCCCCCAGCTTTGGGAGCTCAAGGCATCTATGCGAAGTGTAACATTACACATACATAGAGAAATGTTACCGGTGTTGCATAAGACTTCGGTACAAACCTACGATAAGTTTACCGGGCATAGAAGACTAAGGAACCAAGGTGACAGAAACCCACTTGGAAATTTCTAAGTAAAGAGGTAGCATGAACTTTTGACGGTACCATTGGACCAGTTGAAGCCCATGAAACACCTTCATA